CCACTTCTGCTCTATGCAAGCTGTGAGACTATGGACAAGACTCCAATCTTCTTTTTGTATTGAAATTTCAAAATAAAAGCAATGTAAATATAAAAGTCAAAGGCTGATAGAATCAAAATTTTAAATTAATTAAAATATTGAAAAGTTTTAAAAGCATTTCTGATATTTCATTACACAAAAAATCTGAAATATCTGCAAACATAATGGTTATATTCCTGATTGATGGTCACAATAAACCTAATAGATACATTCAAAAATGACTTGCATAATATTGACAAAATTCCAATGAGAATATTTCAATCAAATTCAGAAGGACATTAATTTTAGGTAATATAAGTGTCTCCCAATCAAATTAGCAAAGTATTTTTATTTACTGCTTACAATGTACAACAAAACTTCTTAGGTCACTTGAGATAAGAGTTCTACACTGTAGCTCAAGATGTAACTGCTTTTAAAATTTTTCTGGAAACAAAGTAAGAATCAGAATGGAGCAACTAGAATCCATTCAACGGCTCCCTCTGCTGGGGTATAATTTAGAACTGAAAGCTAACACATAGCATTTACTGTAGTAACTGCAAGGTAGATTCAAGCCCTTGAGAAGTCCTGTAATAAGCAAGGCCTTTTGTCAGTGTTTAAGAATTAAAGTACAGATCATTTCCATTTCCAACATATTGTCTTGTGTACATAGTGGAAACACTGTCTACAACTTGGAGTTGGGGTGGGGGGAGGGAAAGTAAGAGAAAATTGAGGGAAGGGGTAACAAGGTTGACAAGAAATGTTCTCATTACCTTACTTATGTAACTGAACCCCTCTTGACTATATATATGTGTGTGTGTGTGTGTAAATTAAAGTACATTTTTCCTTTGAAATATATAGGTTTATTTGTAGAAAAGTTTCACATGGATTAGAGCAGATCAGCAAGAGAAGAAATAAAGAGCACTGATATAAAAGCACCTTTAAGAAACAAGACTCAGCAGTGGTACTCACTAGACACTATGTAGAAAATGAACGTGTGGGCAGCGGCAGGAGGGAAAACCTGGGAGAGAATGAAGAAAGGATTGACATTGTCCAGAAAGAAATGTACTTGTTACCCAACTTATATCAACTCTATAATAAAAATATTTAATAAAAAAGAAGCAAGTCTGACTCAAGATTGAAGAAAATTGGAATGGGACTGGAAGCTTATTAAACATCAGCATTATGGTGGGAGGGAGGGGAACACAGGATGGACAGGGAAGGCTCCTTTCTCTTTCATCCTATTCTTCATGTAAAACACAAGGCCAAGGTAAGTATAAGCAAAGGGATTACCTCCCCTTCTCTCCTCTTCTCATTCCCCTTCTCTCTTAATAAAAAAAGAAAGGTAGATAGATAGAAGACATACACACACACACACACACACACACACACACACACACACACACACGCATATATCTTTCTCATTGTTCTCTTTCTTTGCTCCCAACATTTCTGAACATATTCTTTAAAAGGATTGAAACAAAGTTCAAACATGAGAAATTCTATCCAACACGGTTATCTAGAAAAGAAAAGTGAGAAAATTAGGTGGAAAGTGGAACTTGGAAACAGGGATTTTCAAAATCTGAGGTCCATTGTTGGGGTAGAGGTGCAATTCAGAAAGCAACATGATAAAGGAGTATCTACTTTCAAAGGTTCCAAGCGGCCTAAAAGGCCAAGTAATATCATTCCTGGTAGGGCAGTGCAGTTATACAGTTTGTTTTGGCCTCAACACACTCGGGGTTATGGTCATGACTTAGCCATTTAATTTAATAAAAGCCTGCATAACTGATGAATCACGCTATCACTAACCCAGGACTGCCATAATAGTGAGCACTTTATGCATCACAAGGACTAAATTATGTACGGCGGATATTTGACACAATTATGAGTCCATAGTTAAATGCTCAGTAAGGGGTAGGCAAATTACCATTAGGAAGAAAACAAGGCTGTCATAATATGACTGTGTCTGAGGCAGGCACAAGCTGTGCTGGATGTAATAAGCTTCCCTGGGGTAGAAGTGAGGCCACACTGTCTCATGAGCTTCTTGATGCTACCAAGGACACGTTTCCAGGTAACCCTGGCCTGAGAAGGATCTAAACACAGAGTCACCCTCAAGGGGTCTTGTTTTTATTCCAATGTGGTCTACATCAGCCAGTCTTTTCCTTTCCTTAGAACAAGTGCTAAAACTTAGAGTTTCCCCTGATCTTTGTGGTCAAGCTTTTGTAACTGCTATAAGAATAATAAGCAAGCAATGATTTTTCTAGGGCAAAGTCAAGTGTACCCAGTCTAGACGAATCCAACCATTGCCTTTATGTCTGTAAATAGGGGACACTATTTCCGGACCTAGAGAACTGGAACCATCACTTCCATGATGACAAAGGTAGAGAGCAATAAAACATTAATTATCAGGCATTTGAATTTTATTTTCAGCAATAATACAATAATGAAGAGAAGACTGGAATCAAAATTATGAAGTTGTGTCTTTGCCTCCACACTGGTTGTTATTCCTGGCTTCAGGAATAAGTCTCTCCTAAGTAGCAAGATTTGTTATATTATCAGAATTCTAGGATATGTATAGGGTATATCGGAAATACGTTTTTTGTGATACACATACGTACACAAATATACATATGCGTGTGCATAGCATAAACCAGGCTGGCCTGGAATTTGCAACCTCCTGCCCTCCCACTGTAAGTATGCAAGGGTTATATGAATTACCAGCTTACACGCATGTTCACATGTGCATATCTGTAAGTATGCAAGGGTTATATGAATTACCAGCT